TCTGATTTTTATGAGTGCATAAGTACAGGGCCACCTTTACAGCTGGTATAAATCTGTGAACTATGGGCTTACACGAGGCAGTGACTGTGTCCACCAGGATTAGGTCCACTGGAATATACTGCTTCAATAAACCTCAAGAACTTTTGTGGAAATAATCTCCCATGATGCCACAACCTGTAGTTATATTTGGTGGCAAAGTATGAAAAGTCATGAACCAGGTGAACTTCACTTTTAGATGGGGAGGGGAAGGACCCTGCCTCAGTGTAATTTACAGGAATTGAAGTGTAATACTACTGTGAAAGAAATTACACCATTCTACAACTGGGAGAAGGCAGGAGCTTTAGAAATTACTTTTTCCTTCCAGACTGCAAGCTTTTTTTCTGTATGTTCCATTAAATGTTTGTACCTTGAGCATTACAACTCGTGAAGCTTGTTTTCAAACACTTGCATCTTTACCAGATGTACCTTCTCACCCCTTGTAGTAATTCCAAATGCTTTTCCTCTGTGGAGCGTGTGAAATAAAAGCGGCAAAGTCTGAGTGGGTAAGAACATACACTGGTATTTGCCTGACTAAGGAAGAAGGGGGGATGGTGTTATTTGGGTATGTCTGAGCTACTGTATGCTAGTTCCAACATCTGACCATGGAAATAATGTTGTCAGTGAAACTTGCTGCCCTCTATTAAATCCAGTTGAAGTTGGTCCCCAGATTTTTAAAACAGGTGAGGGATTGAGAGCCAGGCATACAATTGCAGAAGTTTTGTTTCAGCATGAAACCACCTTGAGGGTGTGGAATAAAAAAAAAACCTAAAAACTATAATGTTGTAATGCTTTGAGATCTGTGGTGAACTGCGTCATGGTGAAATATCAGTGGTGAAAGAGCACTTCTCGCTGAAGTGTTTTCAATACAGTTATATTAACATAGTAACCTAATTTTCCAACAGTGTTATCTCCAAAGAAAAAGCTGCTGTTACAGCAGGACACATGCAGGGCTGGCTCTGGTGAGGTAGGTTAGATTCCTAATGAGTATATCCTTGCTCCTTACAGATCCTTCATTATTCCATTAATGTAAATGGAGGTGGCTTTGCAAACTGCCCAGTTTCTGCTCTTGGTCTGGTTGTTCCCTTATAATTTTGGAGTTGACTCCTCCCAGAAGCTGCTCTGATAGATACCTCAGCGTAAGCTTTTATCCCTTGCCCCATCTGTGGAAGGTATTTCCATAGAGATGCCGTGCTAACAACTGAACTGAGCATGTGTTGAGAGAAATCTGCACACGAGGGCGGGCAGCCAAAAGATGACTGATAACACCACTGGCAAATGCAGGCATATTGTTAATACCTGTCAGGGCTCTGACAACAGGCATTTCCAGTTTGGGGTTTGTGCACACCACGACATACTGATCTGCTTCATTTCAAGGACTGACTATGGCTAAAAACAAGGTATTCTCTTACAGCAATGCCACACACAGTCAGGGTCTCAGCAAAGGTAAGAGTCCTGCAACAAATGGGTATAGCCCTTGCTCTTCTCCCTTACCCTAGAGAAAGCACTACCTGCCCAAACCATGGGTAACTGCTCCATCTGATGCTTATGCTTTTTAACCATTGACTTTCCTTGGCTAAGCTTCACTTACATTCCTGTTGAGTGCATAATGTTCTATAGGTCCTAGGAAGCTTGTCACTTGCAGCAGAACCGATGGGTGCGTGGGATGTTTTACATGCTGTTCAGAAGTTTACAGGCATTTGTAAGATCCAAGCTCAACTGGTACAGCAGCTTCTGGGTTGTGCCAGGGCTGCTGGACACATGTCACGGTACAAGGGATCCAACTCAACGCTAGTTTGCACGCAACATGCTCTGTTCTGTTCCTACTCTCGGGTGCCAATTATCCTTGACTTCAGTGGGAGCTTCATGTGTGTACTTGGCAGAATAGCTTAGTCCTGTGACGATTCAGCACAGTATTTTGTACGAGAGAGCCATAGTGAAATGGAAGACAAACCACAGATGCTGCTCAAAGGTCTGAGGTTCTTCTGCGTGCAGGTTGAATTAGCATTATATAAAGCTCTAGTGGCTATCAAAGCAAATGATTTTGGAGAACTGTAATTATCTGCTCCTGTAGAAGAACCAGATAGTATTGTGGCACAGAGTAATTATTTCATGAAATGGTTTTGTGGTTCTTTTTCTTGTTTTGAGGGGCAAAATAGGTACCCTAATCTATAAGGTGAACTTTACTTTCACAGGCATTGCATAATGTTACTTCTGAATGACCACAGAATGGCATTAATGTAACTTGACATGAACTCTAAAACAGATTAATGCAGTTTTTTAAGCCTGAAGTCAGGTTTGAAATTGGAATTTGCTAATGCTTAGGTTTTAGACTTTGAAGTCACATCCCTACTGTACAGTATTTCAGGCATGGCAGTAGGAGTGCAGCATGTTACCCTACCCATGATACTCCTGATGAGCAAAAATAAACCTGCTTGTAGTGGTTCTTATTTGAGTCCTCCTTATTTGAGGAGGACTGTCACTGCATACCTTGGTATTTTAACATGGAATTAGGGCAAAAAAAAAAAATGTTATGGTAAAGCAGATTGTGTTTGATATGTGTAGTGGCATGCACACAAGTACCTTTTTGGAGCTGTTTGTTTGCATAGGGATAGCAACCCCAGATGCAGTTTGGAAGCCACATGTGCAGGATGCTGTACAAATAGCTGGAAAGGCAGCATTGTGTCACTTGCTCAACAATCGGTTCCTATTGTCCAGTTACAAAAATAGTCCACATCTGTTCTCTTCCATGGCTGTTGTCTTTCTGAAAGCACTGGTACCATGTGTGAGTATGGCCTGCTATTCCTTCTCTTGTGTGTGGTGCCAAAACTCATCCTGCTGATTTCCTGGTATGAGCAGAATGGGACTGAGATCCATCCGACAGAAATCCTGCTGGGAGCTCCTTGTAGTCCTGCACTTGGCCAATTTAAGTATAAGGATGCTTGTAATGAGGAGGCTGTCTGGTGTGTGCCCATTAGGGCAGCTGGATTCTCTCTCTTCAACCTTTGAAGCAAGTCTGTGCCCTTTGCAGTATCCAGAAAAGTATAAAGGAAGTTGGTAAGAAACTGACACATAACTCTGTGAAAGATCAGGGTATAATATCATGGCATTATTATTTTGCCACTGTTCTCTTTGGGTTCTTTCCCACCTCTGGTTGGCAGGAGAAGTTGTGATTTTTATTTTCAGTGTGTTGTGGGGAGAGTGATAAAACCCCACAAAACCCCCTTGGAAGTGCTTTAACCAGATGCATACCTCTCCAGAGCCAATGAACGCTTTGTGGAGTTTCACTGCTCTCAGAAGCTGTACCATAGGCAATATTTAGCAATGTAAGATAAAAGCAAATTTCTCATGTTAAAAGCTTCAGTTTACAAACTACTTGTAAATTTGCTTGCTATTCATCTTAGTCTTCAAAATGGTTCTTAGTCTCTGCCATCTCTGGCATTACGGGTAAGTAGATTTTATTACCTCAGGGAAAACCAACATGAGAAAAATAAAATGGGTTTCTTCTTCCTGACACGAAGCACCAACTTAACAAGAATACAAATTGAGTGTGGGTGTGCATGTGTATGTATTTGGGGGGTGCTTTGTTTTCAATAATAAAAAGTAATTATATAGTTTGCCGCATAAATAGCCGAGAGGATAACCAGTGTGTCAGACATCCAGTTATGCATGTGTTAAAGGTTAATACTATTTGTTCTCAGTATGTTTAGTCTCTGCAAATCATGTGCTGACATGCATCCCATTTTGGTATCTGTTCACACACTCTGGTAATGATGCGTAGAGCAGGAACTCATGCCTGTGCTGTTCAATAGTATTTAGTAAATTGAACTTGTGTATAAAGGTCTTAAAAAATGGCAAGGCAGAAAATGAATGTCTCCTTGCTGCTAATTTTATCTTCCACCACACACTTCTTGCTGGAGACTAAAGCATTATGAATCTGTTCACTACTGAAAGTTACTTCAGCTTTCATGGCACGTATCAGGATGCAGAAAAGCAAGCGCATGTTCACAGCTGTCCCTCAGGTCTCTCTGCTGGAAATACAACCTGTTAAGCTGCTAGATTTCTACTTAAAATAACTAAAAATAATGAAATCAAACAATTAAGTGGTGAATCCTCATTAAATGTAAGTATCTAAAGTTGTACAGCTAGGTAATTGACTGCATATGTAAACTAGCAGTAGATAATTGACATGACCTTCATTTAATGAGCCTCCTTCCCATTAGTGGAGACAACTGCCACAATTATGTGCCCTTATTCTAGTTGTAATTGTGTGGACTTTATTGAAGTACAAACTAGGTCACGCCTTCCTGAGATCTGGTCTATGGTGGGTGACCTCTTTTCATTGCTTCAGCTTTACTATGCTGCATGGGAGAAGGAAGGATGTTCTTGCAGCCATGAGAATGAACACAGAATCCTAGACTGCCTTAGGTTGAAAGGGACCTTAAAGTTCATCCAGCTCCAATACCCTGCCACAGGCAGGGACACCTTCCACTAGACCAGGTTGCTCCAAGCACCATCCAGCCTGGCCTTGAACACTGCCAGGGATGGGGCAGCCACAGCTTCTCTGGGCAGCCTGTGCCAGTGCCTCACCACACTCATAGGGAGGAATTTCTTCCTGATTGTGGAATCATAGAATGGGTTAGGGTTGGAAAGGACCTTAAGATCATCTAGTTCCAACCCCCCTGCCATGGGCAGGGACACCACACACTAAACTATGTCTAGATCTCCCCTCTGTCAGGTTAAAGCCGTTCCCCTTGTTTTGTCATTACAGGCCCTTGTAAAAAGCCCCTTAGTGTATTAGTGTAACAGGGCAGGTTGTATCTTTAATCTTTGCAGTATAATGAAGGTTAGATAGTTAGGGAGCCGAGGGAAAGGACTTGAAGCTGCCATCCAAAGTGTTTCCAATGGTCTTTTTGGTGCCACATTGGAGTATTAGTCCTGCCTCACTAACTCATGAACTGACTCATGAGCCATGCATTCATGAGTCAGTTCAACAGTAGCTGAAAGGTGGTGTTTCTACCCATGAAGTGAGATTTAAATGTTGCTCTGCTATAGGATGTTAAACTAGTAGATTTTGAGCAGCTGCTGCTGGAAATTACTATGGCCTTTAAAATGAAGAGATTTCCTAGGTGTTAAAATATTGTTTTCTTCTATTAAATAATTTGATATTATTTTGCTGCCAAAGACAAGGATTGTGTATAATCCTCAGATAGAATAACCTTTTCATATCCTGCTCATACAGTTAGGCATAGTCTGGGATTCATTTACAAAGAAGTAGATGTTTGATCTGTTTGCTTGCTAGCAGGATTGCGTGTCTGTGCTGCTAAAGCTTACTGTGCCATACTCTTCTACTGTTATAAATGGGAGGAAGAAGGGTGGCTTTCAGGTGGACACATTTCCTTGTGTGTTTTCAGTATGTTATATGGATAATGGCTGTCTTGTAGTTCCTGGTTTTCAGAGCCCAGTTGTACACTGTTTCTTGCCAGTCAGATAACAGCAGTGGTTGTATGTCATCAGATGAGATGTAAATTGATCAAGCTTGACAGCAGTTTCCTTGCTAAATGGAAGGCAAGATTGATTGAGGAAGGATTAATTTAACATGAGCTATAAAGTACTATTGGATCTGGTGACCAACCAGCCATTGGCAGAGGATGCTGAGGTCTTACTGAAGTCAATTGGTGAGGTTTCTCCACGTCTCTTCAGTCTTCTTCTGTGTAAGAAAAATATATGTGTGAATCAAGTTGCATAGCTGCTATTCTATTCATTTCACATCCCTCCAAGTTCACTGCTACCATGAGGTAAACAGCCCAGTGACAGCAGTGAAGGATGTGGCCTGGTCCAAAGATCCTGCCTAACTTAAGGCTGACCTACTTACCTTGAAAAGTAAATGTCCAGCCTCCAACCAGTGTATATAGCTGATGGGTGCAATCTTCTCTTTGTTTTGTGCTGGGCTTGGTGCCTCTTGTGTGGTGTCCTCTATCTTTTGCACTGGAAGGCCCCTGGGGTACTACTATGTGCTCAGGCAGAATCTGTCCTCCAGAGTCAAGATATTGGCTGGGATCTCTGGGCACTACTCTAATGAAAATAACAGGAACTTGATAAGGAGCCAGAAGATCTGTGTTGTGTGTTCGCTGCTCTGGTGGTCACAGAGTTTGATGTGGGTGTTTGGGGATTTTTCCTTTTAAGTTTTATATAAAACAATTTTCAGAGTACATGAATTATTTGTGTTGCCTGTTCCACTGGCTCTGCATTTGTATGAACCACCTTTTCTCCCTCTTAGCTTGTCTTTCCTTGTTTGATAAAGGAAGACTGATAACCACCTTCCTTGAGTTGTAAATCATCTCTCTAAGTGTTTCTCTTCCCCCCCTTTGAGGAAGAAATCTGGTATTGCTCCCTGTAGAATGTTATAAAAATCCAAGGATGAAAAAAATCTGCAAAATATTAGTGTTCTACATGGTTAGAGCAAACACTATGTTCCTGTGAGTCACATGTCAGGTTTGTTTAATTTTAATAAATCTATGCCACAGTAACACTTTTAAACAGGAAGAAGGATGGAGAGATGGAAAAAGAGTTGTGCTGGGGTAGCCAGCCAGATTCTTAGCCAAAATGTTGTTTGAGAGGGGCATGGACACAAACCCAAACACTTCCCACTCTCCCCACACTCCATTAAGTATAATTTGAGACCTACATTTTGGGCACTGCCATTCCAGTACATATTTCATTTTCTTTGTATGCTTTATGATAGATTGTCTTTCCATGTTCCAGTCTGAAGAGTACTAGTTTCCCACAGCATATTTGCAAGAGATGAAGTAAGCCTTTTAACATAACACCCTGTTGGCAAACAGAAATAGCATTTACTCCAATGAGAGTTGCCAAGTATGAGGTACTTCCGAATGAACTTCAAAAGCTCTGAAACAAGCATTAGCTGCTGCTTCAAAAATGTGAACAATGCCATTGCTTTCTAGCAAGCAGAACTGGTGAGAGCAGGGATCAGAAAGAGAAAAAATAACAACTGGATGTGATGGATGTTGTAGTAGCTCTTGAGATAGGTCAAAATATAGCTGTCTGTCACTGCAGGGTTTGGCGGTTCTTGTAATAGTACACAGTGTGTACTCTGCACTTGAGGAGGAAAACATTTCTACTTTGAGGAATGTACAATCTACAGAGACTTAGTGAAGCACTTGGGAAGGAGCAGTCATACAAGCCCAAGCTGTTGGGAGTGCTGAGAAGAGTGAGTCGTGCAGAATCCAAGCCTGGGGAGGAGTTTTCATACTGGCACTTTCCTGGTGCTACCCCTCCATGCTCAATGAAGACAGAGCCAAGCATACACATAAGCCTCAAAGCGTAACATGTGCCAGAACTTGGGGCAGAGGGTGAGAGAAATGAGCAAGCTTGTTAAGTGTGGCAGTAGGGCTGGTTGTGCTGCTGGATTTCTGCTTTGCTTGCTTGAGAGCAGGCACTATAGGGCTTTGGCAAAATACAGTACAGTGGTTCTGGTACTGTCATTTCAGTGTAGCTCTTAACAGCCTGTAATCCAACAGGTCCCTTCCACAGCATTCACATGATGCAAGCAAGCTGTCCTGCTCAAATTTAGTCTACTGTGCTGGACCATTTTCTCGTTCTGTATTTATACACACATACCTTCTACTTTTAGTTGAGGAATTGACCTGCTGAAATGTCAGAACTGTGTGGCATTGGCTTCTTGTGTTTTGAAGATTGCTTTCAAAAAACAAATGCAGTTTATCCTGGTGCTTTTTGGGGGGTGGATGGGGAGGGGATTGTGCATAGAACAACAAAATATTTTGGCATAGAGAGATCTTAAATATTTCCACTTGAGATGAAAGTCTTGCTTGTCACGTTTCTGAAGCTGCCTTTTATTGCTGAAATGTTGCGTTGCTCAATATCAGTTCTGCCTTTGCTGTTACTTTAAATAGGTATAATCAGTCAATAAATAAGGAGGTTGCATAGTGTTTAATCTAATACTTACTACAGGAAGACTTTGGCATGTAAGAACTCTGACTTGGTGGCATCAGTGTTGCCCAAGCTTTGGCATATGCTTTCTCTGAAACTGTGAATCAACAAATACCTTTGTACAAGGGTAAGTTTTACTGGGGGTAATGAGTTGCGGCTGCATGCAGCAAATCTCTGCAGAAAACGCATGTCTCATGACAGCTCAGGTGAATTTTATTATTACTCCATCCTTTTTAAATTATTTTTTTTTTCCTTTTTCTTGTCCTTAACAGTTCCACCAAGTGAGAAGAGTGATGACCATCCTTTTCCTTACTATGGTTATCTCATACTTCAGTTGCATGAAAGCTGCCCCGATGAAAGAAGCTAGTGTAAGAGGACAAGGCAGCTTGGCTTACCCAGGTCTTCGGACCCACGGGACTCTTGAGAGCCTAAATGGGCCCAACGCTGGTTCAAGAGGACTGACCTCACTGGCAGACACTTTTGAACATGTCATAGAGGAGCTTCTAGATGAAGACCAGGACATCCAGCCCAGCGAGGACAACAAGGATGCAGACTTGTACACATCTCGAGTCATGCTAAGCAGTCAAGTGCCTTTGGAACCCCCACTGCTCTTTCTGCTTGAGGAGTACAAAAACTACTTGGATGCTGCAAACATGTCCATGAGGGTCCGGCGCCACTCTGACCCAGCTCGCCGTGGGGAACTGAGCGTCTGCGACAGCACAAGCGAGTGGGTGACAGCGGCGGAGAAAAAGACTGCAGTGGACATGTCCGGGGCAACTGTCACTGTCCTGGAGAAAGTCCCAGTACCCAAAGGCCAACTGAAGCAATACTTCTATGAGACCAAATGCAACCCCAAGGGGTACACAAAGGAGGGCTGCAGGGGCATAGACAAGAGGCACTGGAACTCCCAGTGCCGAACTACCCAGTCTTACGTGAGAGCTCTCACTATGGATAATAAAAAGAGAGTTGGCTGGCGCTTTATAAGGATAGACACTTCCTGTGTATGTACATTAACCATTAAAAGGGGAAGATAGTGGGTTTGTGTTGTATAGATTATATTGAGACAAAATTATCTATTTGTATATATACATAACAGGGTAAATTATTCGGTAAAAAAATAATTTTATGGACTGCATGTATAACTGAAGTTTATACAGTACAGTGATTCCACAATCTATTTATTGAACATATCCATGACCTGAAGGGGAACAAAAGTCATTTGCGCACAAGGTTAAAAAAAAAAACAAAAAACAAACAAAAAAAAATAAACAAAAAAAAAACAAAAAAAGAGACCCAAGCAAACAGCAAAGTCTGCATTACATTCCTTGAGAACATTGTGGTTTGTCGCCGTTGCCAAGAATTGATAATAGAAAAAGATTAAAAAAAAAAACAAAGAATAAAATTGCATGCTGCTTCAGTTGTGAATTGATGATAAACTGTCCTCTTTCAGAAAAATAAATTGAACCAAAACATTCCGTTTACATTTTAGACAGTGAGTATCTTTATTCCTGTTGGTATTATATCTGTTTACTGCTTTTAACTCCTGATAGCGTTGGAATTAAACAATGTCAAGGTGCTGTTGTCATAGTTTTCCTGTTTCTGTTTTACTTTTGAACTCCCTTCAGATTGAAAAAGGAAAAAAACCCCTCTCGTTACCTTATCCTGGATTAAAAACCAGTTTCCTTTTTGTATGTTGTAAAGGTGTTTGCAATAGCAGTCCAACTACTGACAAAAAATAATAAAAAAAGAGGCAACTGAAAAAGAATGGTGATGTTCCACTGTTCCACTTCACATTGTAGAAGCTGAAAGACAGCACTTAATTAACTGTATGGCAACATGCTTCTTTGGAGTATTTTCTTTTCTTTTTTAATTATTTTAACTTTTTTATTTGCTGTCTTTTGAGACCTGCATTTGCTTATACCATGTTTGTTTGTGTTTGATTTTTGTTTTTCTTTTCCTCCCTCTGGAAGGATGGTGGTTGTGATCTTTGAAGTATTTCACTTACCATGCAACTGGAGCTTGTCATATAGAAAATACTCTATATATAGAGTGTTGAGAGCAATGATCTTCATGTAATAAAAGTCTCTGTGGTGGGTTCAAATGTCTTGGTGAAGCACACAAGAATGGCACTAGAAGGAATGTCTAGAAAGGTGATGGTGGATCTGCAGGTTCAACCTGGTTTGTCTGGTTGGTCATGGGACTGAGTAGCTCAGTGAGTTCAAGGACAGAGAGCAGTGTTTTATTTTGACTGAGTAGTCAGCACTAAACATTGTCCTGTGCATCCTGTGAGAGGGAGAGCTTGCCTTTTCCACTTACACTTTTACCCTCCAGGGCATCTCCAGCAGCCCCAGGCCTTCAAAGTGTGTTAGGAAACTGCAGTAGCATCCCTGCCTGGAAGATAGCTGGGGAATGAGGTGGGAAGAAGCCTTGCTTCTAGATGAAGCACTTGGAGTTTGTGTGGCTCTACCTCTGCTGTCAGCCTTATTTTATGAAACAAATATTGGCATAAGAAAAAAATATACTCATGAAGTACATGGAGAGCAAGTGCTGGAGGAGTTTGCTTAATGTTGCTGAGGTTCTGATATACGTATTAACTGGGCACTGCCCCTCTAACTATCCTGAAGTATGTCTAAAGAGGCCGGCTGGAAGCCTGGGAGTTGTGCATAGCACTTGCACTGACTACAGTGGGCAGAGAAGCAGAAATAGCTCATTGGTGAGCTCACTGGAGGCAGATGCTATATTTGTAATTCCTGTAGATGAAGAAAAGTATCTGAACAAAGAGGGAAGTACTGTGAAATATCACTACTTCTGAATGGTGCAGAATCTGCGTTAATCTGCCTCACTGTTTGAGTTAATTAAAAACCTGAACTGGGCAAAGCTTATTTGGAATATGCTCCCCCACAGTAATTCTCTCTGAAGAGCATATTTAACACTGACTTCATGTCCTTTCTAGTAGAAACCCATGCTGGAAGCTAACAGAGGCTAACATTTCAAAATCAGTAATTTCTTCTACTTAGGCTAGAACGGCTTCCCCTTCCCTGGGATAACTGATGGGCAAAGGGGAACCAGCCCAGCTGTGCAGTGAAAACCTTTTGCATTGGCCCTGTGCACACTGGATTGTTATAGAGAAGAGGAAATTGTGTGTCCCACCTGAACTTCAAACCTTGACTTTCCCAATCAATTGCAGCTATTCAGGCTCCCACACAGATATCAGAAATGGGGGGGGGGGGAGGGAAGAACTTAATGAAATGTCTCAAAACTTCAACTGAATTGTTCTTCGTGCAAAGTAAATGTTGGTATAAGGGAGAATTCAATTCCTCTGTGGCCAATACCTGTGTGTGTATTATAATTCTGTGCATTTAATAATCCAGACATGGCTCAGGAGCTATTCTCAGCAATATTCCTAAACTACAGCAGAGAGATGGTGTAACGGTGGCTCCCCTTAAAACCAGGGTTGGTCGCTTAGGAGGGGAAAGGATGAGTGAATAACAAATGGATCACTCATCTAGACTGGAAAAAGAAATGATAGCTAGGACGTGACAGTAATTTAATTCAGATACAGGAATAAAACAATTCCCAGTTCTAAGAAATTGAATTTCCAAAAGAGAAGTGTTAATGCATAACCCATGCTAGAAATAAAGTTCCTCATTCCTAAAGTTAATTATGGCTATAGCCTTAACTCAGCAATCCTCACCCAACATAGGTCAGGGTGGTGCTGATGTGGGGTGGTAGGTTCAGAGGGGTAGAGGGCAGTCTGCAGGTGAGAGGGGGCCTAAGAGATGGAGCTAAGAACCTACAGAATAACTGTGTTCTGTATCCACATCTGGAGTGGTTCCTTATACTCCACCAATTCAATGCCTATTGATACAATGTGAAACTGGCAATTAAACTGCATTCCCATGACTCTCACCTGCCTGACCTAATATATCCATGAGCCCAGGCTTGGCAGTTTCAGTTAAGACAGAGATGGGAAGGAGGGGTGGGGGCGGTTTTCTTTCATGTCACTTAATGGAACTCTTGCTGTGGTCTGTTTGTGACAAAGGTATATCATGCATGTCAGCAGGCCTAGTGCTGTGTTAAAGTAAAGACTCTTGCAACTGTAAGTTAATGTCTGTGGCCTTGTTCTCTATTATTCACCTTGTGTAACATAAATATTTATTGTATATTTATATAATTTTATGGTTTGGGGGAAAAGCTGAAATTGGCATTAAAATTTAAAAGCAACTGCGTCATACTGTAAATATAATTAAGCTATATTTAAGTGTACTGATTAACATAATATATGTTTAACTATAGAGTTTTTTATGTTTTTAAATATATTTTCAAAAGATATATATATAAAAGGGGTTTTTTGGGGGACCATGTGACTCTTTTCTCTAATTGTAAAACAAACTCAAGTTTTACTATAAAGATGTGTGTTCTTTGTTTTAAAACCATTTTTACTTTATTTTAGCAATAAAACTCTCACTCGGAGGGCAGATAGCCCCCTGTTTCATAGATGGACAGCTAGCATTGGGAGGGGAGGGGTGGAAAGAATTGACCTTCCATATAAGTTGGGGATACTTGCAGAATGATGTATTTCCATTTAATTCTAGGACATAAGTCCTCATGAGTCTAAAAACCCATGAATGACACATATATATGATTTTATTCAGCCATAAAATAAGTGTAATGGAAGTGAGGGGGAGGGGTTACAAATCTCAGTAACTAAGGAAGATGTGAGATATAAACTCAATAGCTATAGTCATGATTTTTAAGTGGTGTCATCTGTATTTATATCCCCTGCACGGAACTTATTTATGACCCCCTTGGAGTACTAGGAGTAGGATTCCTTGGATTTAACATGGTTTAGCATTTCTAAAAGAATATTCTCTACTACAGCTGCCAAACCTTTGTATATTTAATTATTCCATAGCCCTCAATAAATCTTCATGATGAAGATTTCTATTCATTCATGATGAATAGAAAACTTTCATATAACTTAAGGGGGGGGGGGGGGGGGGGAGGTGGGGAGGGAAGCACAAATCCAGACTCTCAATAAATTCTATTGCTGAATATTTCCCACCAGCAAAGCCTCCTCAGGAACCAAGGAAGTGGTGCTTGTGAAGATTATTATTATAATCATTACATTGCTTGCTTTATTTTTGTCTTGAAAATCAGCTAACAGAAGCAGTTACATGTACTAGAACCTTTGGTGGATGGAAGAACAGGGCTGTGTTATTACCACATCACAGGCCTGCTCGTGGCTATGGGAGCCAGCTCTGCTCAGACCCTAGGTAGGACACAGGTGGGTAAGGTTGCTTTAACTTATGAAATATGTATTAAAGATATGGCCCAGGTACCTACAGAATGAGATGGGCACCTTCAAAAGACATACTGGAACTAGGGAGGAAGATACTGGAGCTAACCATCCATCCATCCATTCATTCATTCATCCGCTTTACTGAATCCTAGCTCTGTAGGGGAAAAGAAAGATGTTTCCATAGCTTTTATTACTTGGAGCTGAAATAAAGGCATATAGCTAGACTTCTGAACTACTCAGCCAGAAAACAACAGCAAGCAGTAAAAGAAGATTCTTGAAGAGAATCCCAAAGCTACATTGAAGTGCAAGCAGAGGGAGAGGAGATTTATTGCAGTTTGTCCCAGGTGGATCCAATGTACTGCTTCCACAGGCTACTTCTAATTAAGATCTCATTGAAAAGATACCATCTGGCAGGGCAGTTAAAATGAAGAAGGAATGGATGCATTTGTTTGAGGTGAATATAAAGAGCATCAAGGACCTCACCTTATGAAGCAGTTATGAAGGTCAGAAGGTTCTGTAGGGGGATGTTTTGGAAGAAGATAAGATTTTTCTGAAGGTTTTTTTGGGGGGTGGATTTTTGTTTGGCTTCCCCCTCCCTTGCTACCATTTTGGGTAGTCAGATACTATGGTGTTGATATAAACCAATGAAGTTAAACTAATATCCTTTTTTGATGCCTGTGGGAGGAGAAAGCCTGGAGGTAGCATGAGGGGGTCCAACTTTTCCAGGTAAGGTTTGGATTCATCTGTTGAATTTGGGATGCCTCTCAAAATCATCTCTTTTGAATGTCATCCTGTTAGATGGTGACAGAAAGCACTCAGAGGTAAGCTGCTCTTTGCTAGGCCAGCCCTCTGTTGAGGGAAATAATAAGTAGTGCTTTGTTTTTGCATTGCTGTGTGAGGGTGAGTCTCTAAAACCTGTCTGCAACCTGCTCAGTTCTCTTGGGTGTCCCTATGGAAGAAACAAATATGTGTATGCATGTTCCTAAATGCAAAATACCTCCTGGTGCTGCTGTGTTTTTTTGATCGGGCTGGTGCTGTGTTGCTGACTCCATATAGGACTGCAGCCACCCCACATATTGCTGCAGGTCCCTGCTTCATAAGAACAACCTGCAGAGGGAACCAAGGGGTGGTGATTCCCAGTGCCCAGGAGAGACATGCAGGTATTAAGGGCTCCTTGCTGCCAGCTGATCTCATTAACGTAACCTTTGCCAGTTTGCTCACATAGGGATTTTAGGAGATGAGGAGGAGAATTTGTCACAGAGCTCCAAGGCTTCTCATCTCAATCCCTCATTTCTGCTTCTACCTGCTGGGCAAGGCACACATGTGGTAGTGGGAAGAGGCAGAGAACTGCCTTTAGCCCCTAGGATGCTGGAGTGGGCTATCCTACCTGCTGCCCTGGGACTGGAAGCACCTTGCAATGGGAGAAGGCTGTGACTGGGGTTTGGAGGCCCTTCCAATAGGGCCAGGCAGACAGCTAGGATAAAATGAGCTTGAGGAAACCAAGCTAAAATGTTGGGAGAAGAAAGTTGTTTGTATGTACTGGTACCAGCAAACAGAAACATGAGATATCAGTGCCACTGTTGCTCTTATCCATCGGCACGAGGCGAAATAATGCTCTTCCTTATCCCCTCTGAACCTGAATAAACTTTGTATCACAGTAAAGAATGACAGAGCAGGAACTCCAGAAGCATTTGATTTATTTAATAGGAGTAATATCTTGGATGATATGCAAAGGGATGTGTTACAAGGAAGGAATATACCCTGCTAGGAGTACAGTTTGGCACTTTCAGAAATGATGTCTCACACATCTGCACTATGAAAATGTTTCCCCTTGCTAAAATAATCCTTTCTTTATACCATCCCCTCCTCCCTTTTATTGAAAAAAGACCCTGAGCAAACAATCTGGTCTAGCTTAAATCTATAAAGTACTGGAATTTCCAAGTTAAAGCTGCAGTTCTTATATGTAAACCAAACTGTCTTCTACTGTGTTATGTAGGTTATAATAGCTTTTAAAACTACTCAGACTCTAAATAAGAGTGTAGGTACTGACTGCACTAAATATTCCTTTAACTAGCATCTCCACTGAGGATTTTAAATTACCTTAATAAGGTTCCCAATTATTTTTTTTCTGACCTTTAGCTAAAGGCCACTCTGCCAGGAGACTCATTTTTGCTCTCACCCCAGCATGATTCTTTATAGAAGGTTCACTATATTTGGATGTCAGTCTTGGGAATCTGTTATTTGAAGACAACATGGAGTATTTGTGGCCATGTTTGTGTTACAAACATAGCTAGAGCTGCCAGCTTCACCATTTACATCTGTGGAAAGGCCAATGAGTTCATTTCCCTCACAGTTCTATGCTCTGCTCTTACTCAAACACACGTATTGCATGCACTAATTGGTACAGCTGCAAAATTGCATGGAAGTAGGTATGCAAAAGAGCTCTGAGGAACATAAAAAAGAGGAAATCTAGTGAGCTTTGTTGAAATTTAAGTACAGATGATGTGATGCAGGACAGCTGCATCTTGCATAGCAGGAAGAACATCCCTGCCTTTGTCTGTCAACAAGCAGGTGTAAATAACAAATGCACATCTTAAGTCCTGTTTAGTTACAAGAAGTACACTTACTTGAACAAAAAGCACAGAAACAATTCTTTTTTTTGCCCCACCTATGCTGTATAAATTTGTTGGTTGTTGTTGTTGTTGTTCCTAGGCATCTCTGGCCTGCTTTATTCTTGGGACAAGCACAATCACCATTCCTGACATCCCCATATGGCACAACCCACCAACAATACTAAGAGCAAGAACACTTGTCTTGGCAACAAAAGGAGTGCATTGATTAAACAATAAATAAAAAATCACTACATCAACTTGTAAATTAATGTCCTTTCTGCCCTGTTGAAGCTATTGCTCCAGAGGGTATG